AATAAATTTACAGCATTGCTTTAGCATCCCATCTAGTGTGGCACCCCTATGCATTGCATACAGTGCATAGCCCCTTTTTGCACCACTGCACTGAAGTGCTCCTTCTTTGTCATCAGTTTTACTGTGGCAGTTAGGAGATGGCATGTAAAACTCAGTCCATTACAGAACTCTCTCAGTTTTCATCTTCCTCTGTACTTTTACTTATACAGTTGCATGAAAAGGTATGTGAACCCTTTTGGATTTCTGCATAAATTGGTCATTACATGTGTTCTGATCTTCWRCAAAGTTGCAARAATAGWCAAACACAGTCTGCTTAAACTWAAACCGCGCAAAAATTATATGTTTGTATGATTTTATTGAACACAGCATGTAAACATCTACGGTGAAAGGTGGAAAAAGTATGTGAACCTTTGGATTTATTAACTGGTTCACCCTCCTTTGGCAGCAATAACCTCGACCAAACGTTTCCTGCAGTTGCAGATCAGAKRTACACAATAGTCAGAAGGAATTTTCGACAATTCCTCTTCACAAAACTTTCAGTTCAGCAATATTCTTGGGTATCTGGTGTGAATTACTCTCTTGAGGTCATGCTACAGCATCTCAATTGGGTTGAAGTCAGGACTCTGACTGGGCCTTCCCTCATCCTCTTCATGACATTGACTTAATCATTAGAGCTCTCCAAAAATTAATTTTCTCCTAGCTATTGTCTGATTTTGGGGCTGATAAATGTCAACTTTGAGAAAAAGGTAGTCTTACTAGAGTCAGTTAGTGGTTCTGTGGTGTAATGGTCAACATTTTGGACTTTGAATCCAATGATCCGAGTTCAAGTCTCGGTGGAACCTTTGGAATATGACTATAAGGACTTTGCGCATGTTTATGACTATATGTTTCTGTAACTACTGATTCTTACAAAGAAGCTGAAAGGCTTCTCTGTACCCTAAATGTCTACATGACTCGACTCCAAGGCTGTCCCACGTTTTTCTTGTTCAAAAGTCACATATTTAGCAATGTTCTTCACGCTGTCTCCAACTGACTTCAGGTGCCGGCGTTTCATCAAGAATATGCCAGAAACTGTCACCTACTGTTTATCTTCCAGGGTTCCACAGTGTAGCGGTCATCATGTCTGCTTTGACGCACAGAAGGACTTGGGTTCAACCCCTAGTGGAACCACGCCAGGACAAACTATCTAAGGGCCAACTGAAAACTGCTCAGTTGTGTCAAATCAATCATTTATTTCCCGACCCTTGACTTCCATACAAACTTGTAGAAGGTTTAAATGTCTTCACCTGCTGTACATGTGACTGAAAATTCTTTGCAATATTGTACTCAAGCAAATCATGGCCTTTCTTACAACTTTCAATCTGGAAATCTTTAGGAAGTGCACAAGTGGTGCTCTACAAAATAAATAAATAAAATAAAGACCGCAATAGTAAAGCGGCAGCTTTCCTTTGACCACTCAACAGGATGACTGCACAAAACAAGAAAGTTTATTCATTGGTAAGGCTAGAAAACCTCAAAGAAAAACTTGATGGTTTACCGGAACTATTTGCAAAGTGGTTCCATGGTGTAGTGGTTATCACATCTGTTTCACACACAGAAGGTCCTAGGTCCAAATCCCAGTGGAACCTTGACTTCTGAAATGCATTCATTGTCTTAAGAAACACACTTTGAGTACTCCAAATTAGTGTAGACTACATCTTTNCAATATTTCTGACAGTTGTCTTACCTGACAGAAAACCTCCTTCCAATATTGAAGATGAAATGTGGCTGGGTCTTTCACCATGACAACTATCCCAAGCACACTGCCAGGGCAATGAAGGAGTGGCTTTGTAAGAAGCATTTCAAGGTCCTGGAGTGGCCTAGCCAGTCTCCAGATCTCACCCCCATAGAAAAMCTTTGGAGGGAGTTGAAAGTTTGTGTTGCCCAACAACAGCCCCAAAACATCACTGCTCTAGAGGAGATCTGCATGGAGGAATCCAGTTTTCACCTCCTGTATCATGACTGAGTACTCTGTGAAAAGCTGGTTGTTTGGGGTGAAGTAGTCAATGGTAGATCTTCAGGGGGGTTGTCACCAGTAGCTGATACAAAGCCAGCAAACCCTGCAACAACTTAATCCACTACTTCCCACCGCTTGGACAAGTAACCAGACACGATACTCTTGGATTCAGTTTGAGTAGACTATGTTGTTTTTGGATTAAAAACTGCTCCTTTAGGTAAAGGTRCTTTATTTGTCATCAATGCATGTCCACATGCTAGCTTGTAAATTTGCAAATGTGTGTCGACGATGGCTGACAAAATCAAATYCTGGCAAATTGTTTTGAAGTAAAAAGTATGTGTAGCCTATAAAACATTTTGTAGTTAGAAATGATCACAATTGCCATGCATGAAGCGGGCCGACTTGGCACGTCATTGAGATAAGCTGAGATTGCCATGGAAATGCCATTGTAAATGCACGACTATTGATTTTACAAAAAATTCCATTTATTTGGGTGACAATGCTCTCCATCTCCATTAATTAACACATTAACACATCTCCAGTAATTCCTCATGCCAAAATGGAACCAAAACTGGGGTCATTTGCTTCTGCACAATGTCTAGTTAAGTCAATATGTTGATTTTACATTCTCTTTGCATTTGTGGAAATCCAGGTCGGCAAACAACATGGCACAATGAACATACATGTGACAAAATTTCAAATGGATATCATCAAACTTCTGTTTACTATGCATGTTGAAGATTATAAATATACAAAGCTTTGAAAAAAATATCAATAGTTCCTGCAATTCAGTTTAGGCGAATTTTAGCATTTTTTTGTGTTTACTCCAGCTCTTATGCATCAAACATGATATAATCATAGGAATCTTATTTTCAACAAATTACCCATGAAAAGACAAAAATAAAATGGGGTGAATGGTGTCTGTCGGATGTATAGTTTAGGAGCTATGTTGATTTAAAGCTTTCATTATTCACAATAAAAATCCAGGTCGACCATTAAAGATGGTCAATAAAAACATATATGGGACAATAATTTGCTCTGGGGCCATCACAATCTATTTACTAGACACCTTAAGGAGTACAAAAAGTTAGGTTAAAAATATATCTTTCGGGTGCATGGGACACCGCCCTTCCTACTAGACTAAAACTGATGGAAATTAAATTACTGTCTAAACCCTCATGCCAACACCTACAACAAATTGCCAGAAGAATTTAAAGGGTGCAGTTTAGAATTTGATAGTTTGTGCTTAGAACCAGTGCTAATGCTAGCTTGTAAATTTGCAAATGTGTGTAGACATCCAAGATGGCTGCCAAAATTGAATCCTGGCAAATTGTTTTGAAATAAAAAATATGTGTAACCTATAAAACATTTCGTAGTTAGAAATGATCACAATTGCCATGCATGAAGCGGGYCAACTTGACACATCATCGAGAAAAGCTGAGGTTGCCATGGAAATACTATTGTAATTGCACGACTATAGATTTTACAAAGTGTTTCCACTTATTTGGATGACAATGCTTCATAAATCCTCCACTCATGTCACTACCCATCTCCATTAATTCCTCTTGCCAAAACTGAACCAAAACAGGGTCATTTGCCTCTGCACAATGTCTAGTTAGTCAATATGTTGATTTTACATTCTCTTTTTTGCATTTGTGAAAATCCAGGATGGCAACCAAAATGGCATAATAAACATACATGTGACAAAATTTCAAGTGGATATCATCAACTTGTGTTTACTATGCATGTTGAAGATTATAAATATACAAAGCTTTGAAAAAAATATCAATAGGGTGTACAGGGGAGAAGGTCCTGCAATTCAGTTTAGGCAAATTTTTAGTATTTTTTTGTGTTTACTCCAGCTATTATGCATCAAACATGACATGATCATAGGAGTCTCTTTTTCAACCATTACCCATGAAAAGACAAAAATAAAAGGGGGTGAATGGTGTCTGTCGGATGTATACTTTAGGAGCTACGTTGATTTAAATTTTTCATTTTTCACAATCGAAAATCCAGGTCAGCCATTAAAGATGGTTAATAAAAACATATATGGGACAATAATTTGCTCTGGGGCCATCACAATCTATTTACTACACACCTTAAGGATTACAAAATGTTAGGTTAAAAATATATATCTTTCAGGTGCATGGGACCCCCACCTTCCCTTCCTACTAGACTACTGGTATTGGTATAAGGCCCAATATCAAAATTTTTGCAAGTACTCATATTCGTACAAAATCCCCCGATAATTTGGAACGATACCTGTATCAATACTCAGTTTAATGTGTTAGTTTATATTTCAAGTGAAACCTTTGTCGGTTATGTGTACAGCGGGTATAATGAGTATTGAACACGTCAACAYTTTTCTCAGTAAATATATTACTAGAGGTGCTAATGAMATGAAATTTTCACCAGATGTCGGTAACAACCCAAGTGATCCATACATACAAAGAAATCAAACCATAAATGTCCAGAAATGAAGTTATTTGTAATAATGTGGAATRGCACAGGGAAAAAGTATTGAACACATGAAGAAAGGGAGGTGTAAAAAGGCATGGAAAGCCAAGACACCAGCTGAACTCTCTCAGTAATTAGAAAGCAAGCCTGCCCCTTGTCAGTGCAAATTAATATCACTTGGTTCAGTCCCAAATGATGGCCAGGTATCACACAAGAACCATCTGATGATGGGTAAAAGCAAAGAGCTCCCTCAAGATATTCACAACCTTATTGTTGCAAAGCATAATGATGGCATCGGCTACAGATGAATGTCTAAACTTCTGAAGGTTCCAGTGAGCACTGTTGGGGCCATAATTCAGAAGTGGAAAGAACATTATTTCACTATAAACCGACCATGACCAGGTGATCCTCACAAGATTTCTGACAGAGGAGTGAAAAGAATTATCAGAAGAGTTGTCCAAGAGCCAAGGACCACTTGTGGAGATCTTCAGAAAGACCTGGAATTAGCAGGKATGATTGTTTCAAAGAAAACAATAAGTAATGCACTRAACCACCATGGCCTGTATGCACGCTCACCACGCAAGACTCCACTGCTGAAGAAAAAGCATGTTGAATCTCCTTTAAAGTTTGCTGCACAACATTTAAACAAGCCTGTGAAATACTGGGAGAATATAGTCTGGTCAGATGAGACCAACATTGAACTGTTTGATGCCAGAATACACATCATGTTTGGAGGTCAAATGGCACTGCACATCAGCCCAAAAACGCCATACCAACAGTGAAGTTTGGAGGTGGGAACATCATGGTGTGGGGTTGTTTTTCAGCATATGGTTCTGACAAACTTCAAATAATTGAAGGAAGGATGAGTGGAAAAATGTACAGAGACATTATTGATAAGAAATCTGCTTCCATCTACCAGGATGATGAAGATGAAAYGTGGCTGGACATTTCAGCAAGACAATGAGCCCAAACACAAAGCCAAGTAACCTCTCAGTTGGTTTCAGAGAAAGAAACTAAAGCTGCTGGAATGKCCCAGCCAATCACCTGACCTGAATCCAATAGAAAATCTATGGAAAGAACTAAAGATCAGAGTTCATAGAAGAGGTCCACGAAACCTTCAAGATTTGAAGACTGTGTGGAAGAATGAATAACTTCATTTCTGGACATTTATGGTTGGATTTCTTTATATGTATGGATCACTTGGTTGTTACCGACATCTGGTGAAAATTTCATGTCATTAGCACCTCTAGTAATATATTTACTGAGAAAAATGTTGAYGTGTTCAATACTTATTTTACCCACTGTATAAGAAATGTATCCAAGTTGAAAGATGTTATTTGTATTTATGTTGAAATGTGTCCAAGGCATACCGTAATTAATGCTGTTTATTTAATCTGATCCAATCAGTGGGGTTGTAGGCCTATAAGGAAGGAGAGACACCTTGTTTTAAATAAAATAAATGGGTTTTTAAAGTCATTGTGTAATGTTTACATTCTTAACTCAGTAAGTACATTGTATTTGTACTCAGTATCGGCGAGTCCCAAACTGAAGTACTAATACTCATGCTTGGTTTGAGAAAAACTGATATAAAAACAATGAGATTATGGTACAGCTGGACTCCTCTTTACACTGTTCACATAATTTTTTTTATTGTGAAACCAATTTTAAAGGCATCACACTGGAATCCTGTCCATCTACAATTCTGGACAGAAGTTTTACACTTTGTAGATTTTAAAGGTTGTAGAACTCTGACATAATATTGAAGTATTCAAAGTCATAAACAAGTCTTTACTGTTCATCATTATTAAAATTAAATTGTCATGTGCCAATGGTTTTATGTTAAATGTTTTTTCATGTTACACATTTTAACACTTCCTTGTTAATAGCCAGAAAGTATATTTAAAACATTACAACCTAATAGAACATCGACACCTACTCATGACACTGATAATGTGTGTATACCCTGATAATCAAACACAGATGAGTGTTTAAGAGGACCAATAAATATCCAAACAGTTCAAGAAAGGTGCCCACTGAGACCAAACAAGGCAAACTTTATTGTGGCAAGCAGGTCATGTTGAGTGGTCCACAAGTTCTACAAACCATTAGGAGTCCGTTCTGCTGAGGTCTCTGTCGCAGAGACCCCGCTGTTAAAATAGCTTTAATGATCTG